AAAAAAAAAAAAAAAAAAAAAAAAAATTAGCTGGGTGTGGTAGTGCCCACCTGTAATCTCAGCTACTCGAGAGGCTGAGACAGAATTGCTTGAACCCAGGAGGCAGAGGTTGCAGTGAGCCAATATTGTGCCACTGCCCTCCAGCCTGGGCAACAGAGCAAGACTCATCTCAAAAAAAAAAAAAGGAAAAAAAAAAGGCAGACCTAACCTGTGTTCTAAACAGGGGAGGTTAATAGAAAGAATTATTAAACCGTATTTGAAGACAACTGTAAGGCATAAGAAAATGCTGGTGGGGTGTGGTGGCTCACTCCTGCAATCCCAGCACTTTGGGAGGCCGAGGTGGGTGGATCACCTGAGGTCAAGAGTTCTATAGCAGCCTGGCCAACATGGTGAAACCCTGTCTCTACTAAAAATACACACACAATATATTAGCCGGGCAAGGTGGCGTGCACCTACAGTCCCAGTTACTCGGGAGGCTGAAGCAGAATCGCTTGAACCCAGGAGGCAGAGATTGCAGTGAGCTGAGATCACACCATTGCACTCCAGCCTGGGAGACAAGACCGCGAAACACCGTCTCAAAAAAAAAAAAAAAAAGAAAGAAAAAGAAAAAGAAAAAGAAAATGCTGCTGGGTCTCCTAAGGCTGAGGGCAGGTAGCCAGGAGGGAGAAACTTTGAAGGGAAGACCCCTTCCCTGTTTGGGGTTCAGATCTGTGGGAGGAACTGTGCTTGCAGCCCATGATGATGGTAGAATTTGCTGGTGTGCCCTGCCAGAGGTGGTCTGCAGTCATGGCCCAGGCAATAGCCACCGGTGGCCAGGTGGAGAGCACGCACTGCAAGTGGGGGTCAGGGCGACCCTTTGGGGTGTAGGTGGGCTCAGGCAAGTCACCTCTCTGGAGGTTGGTGTGGGCAGGAGGGCCGCTAGAGTCCTGTGTAGATTGGAGAAGGTGGTCATATGTCTAGTTCAGGCCTTGAGGTTGCCAAGGGATCTCATGTCTTGGGCATGTGTTCTGTGCAGAGCCCAACCTCCAGGTGGCCTCACATTTGCACTAAACTCTAGAAACTGCGGGAGAGATAAGGCCTCCTGCAGTGTCTCTTCAGAGCCCTCTAATGAGAAAGCTGCACACTGCTCTCAGTACAGGAGAGACCTAAGGCAGCAGTATCCAAGGATGACTATGGGGCTCCTAGGCATTAAGCTCCAGAACAAACGCTGAGTGCCCACACTGAAGTGTCAACTCAGAGGTCACACGTGCTTGGGGGCTTCAGTGCATGAAGCAGAGGCTGCTGGCATGAAAGATCACACATGTTCTGTGAGGGCGATGGGTCCCAGCGTGGGCCGATGGAGGAGGCTGTGTACCTACGCCTTCAGTGTCATCTTCTCCCTCTTCCCCACTATGGAGGTTCTGATGAACAGCTACAGGGCTCCCAGAAGACCAGCTGCCTTGGGTCCTGGTCTGTCTCTAGAGAACTCAGGCTTGTGCTAAATTCCAGGTGTGCCTGACCCTCTCTTTACCTTTTACCTTGAGACTCTTGGGCCACGGATGAATTTAAGTGCAGGTGGTAACTTCCTGGCCGTGGCCACAGCCACCTTTTAGTATACCATGCATCAGGGTTGAATTTGTTCTGTTCCATGTCTCCTCCGGGTCTTGCTCACATTCAGTCCCAGAGATGGGTACTGCCAGGCACCTGCTGGGCACAGTCCCATGCTGGGCCCCCAGATGGAAGCTCTTTCTCTACAGCCCCATCACTGGCTTGGTTTCAGATTCCTCGGACTATGTGGTCTGCCCCTGGTCAGCCCTGCTTTCTGCGACTGGAAGCCTTTCTTTCCAAGGCCATGTTTCTCACATAGAGGCTGCTCCTTTCAAGGCCCCTGAACTGCTACAGGGACAGAGCGAGGATGAGCAGCCTGATGTGTCTCAGGTAAGCTGTGCAGCTTCTCTGCAGCTGCTGAGTCCTGTGCCCTGGAAAAGGCCTGTCCCAGTGGCAGCCTCCCCAGCTCTCAGCTCAGCCTTGCAGAGCTTGGTTCTCAACACCAAAGCGGAGTGGGTTTCAAGAGTTTTATTCCCAGGATGTCTTGTCAGCAACTTACTAGCTCATGGACAAGGGCAAGTCCACCTCTCTGAGCCCCAATTTCTACATTGGTAAAGTGGGGTTAATGTGGCTTAATTGATCAGGCTATTATCAATATTCAAAAAGAAGTGTTGAAAAGCTGTGGTCTGGCACATTGTTACCGTTGGCAGTATGTAGCAAGACACCTCAAAATGACCCAGCACGTCCTCAACTAGGAATTTATTCCAAGGCACAAGTAAAGATAAATTTAGCTGCAGCAATGCTGATTGTTGTATTGCTGACATTAGTGATAGATTGAAAACAAGCTAAATAGTCAGTGGGAGAGGACATGAGACAAAACAGCATTAAAATGAGTCTGTAGAAGCTTATTTAATGACTTGAAAAGAAATTCAATATATGCGCACATAATATTATCCAAGTTTGGTTAGAAAGAATGAAAGAGAGACAGAGAGGAAGTTCTAAAAATACATGCACCAAAGTGTCTACAGTGATTGTTTCTGGATGGCAACATCAATGGAGATTTTTGATTTTCCTGCAATGGACATGTTTTGCTTTTGAACAGCAAAAGTTTCCAGTAAACATCATTTTTTATTTCAAAGAGAATTTTAATTCTCTCGAAGGAGAGAATGATGCAAGGTAGCCACACAACACTGGGTGGGGCATGGTGGGTGTTCTCAGAGTTCTGTTTCTTCTTCCTTGCCCTTTCATGAGAAAAGTGCAGATGTGAAAATGCTGCTACCCTAAGGAGGCATCATGGAATGGGAGTTGCTTTCCCTCCAGGCTCTGAAAGGCAAAGAATGGGGACTTGGTGGCTTCCAGATTTGGTTTATCTGGGTCCACATGTCTCTAAGGCAGCTCACAAAAGTGAAGGTCTAAGAGTTCCAGTTCCACTGACCCCAGCTCCGGCACCCCCTCCCCGCTGACATCCTGGAAGTCACTCTGGCATCCAGGCCCACATACCTTCTTACACAGCCGGGACCCCAGGGCTGAATCACTGATTCCTGGATGGGACACAGACTTGGGTGCCTCTCAGGTCTGTTTGGGTCTCTTGGCTCCACCTACACCGAGTTGCCTCCTATGGCCTGGACTCAGCTAAGATGTCACATCTTGAGCCCTGGGACTGGGATTTCTGCGTGACTGCTAAAGGACCGTGCCAATGCAACCTGAGAATGCAGGGGAGCTAGTTTCTTATGGGGTAAACTTAGCCAGTGGTAAATGAGAGTCTGGAGGGAACTAAGAGGATACGTTTTCCCTTCTCTTTCTCTCATGGATGGTTTTGTGCTGTGCAAGCCTTGCAAACTTTCTAGAGAAGTCCTGAGTTCTAGGAAGCCCTGTCTGCTGCACTTCAGTCTGTGCTCTGTTGCTTGTGGCAAGGAGGTGGCCAACATTTTGACCCTGCATATCACATTGGTCCCTGTCTCCCTTCCCATTTTCTCTACACTCTCATTGCCCTGGGATTGCAGCCCCTGAATGAAGGGTCTACACTTAACCCTTGCCTCAGGCTCCACTTTCTGATGTACCTGAGCTAACACAAATTTGAGTGCTCCGGGGGTCCTTCCCTGACCATCCCAGCACTCACTGATGAGGATCAGGCATCACCCTCCTGATTGCAGGTTGGCCTCCATTGAGCACCTTGTGAAGGCCTAGTTACTCCTCTGCCCGGAGCATCTTTGAGCTGGAAAGTAATACGTTCCTCCCTCCTGCACACTTTCCTCCAGGCAAAGGCATGCGGACTCCCATAGATTCAAGGCTAATAGGTTGAGTTAAGAACTGGCTAAATGTATTGCTGAGTCCTGGCCAGGAACATGAGAGTGAGTGTGAGCTAGAAGAGGTCCAGCATGAGAGGGACTGAGCTCTGAACTAACCAAACATTGGTTTAGTGCTCTAGGCATATGAAACATGGCAAGTGGAGTGGGCTTTAAGGGGCCAGAGCCACCAGCCTCAAACCCTGTTTATTAGGCCAGGATGCAGAGTGACCAGGTTACTTGATCTCTTACAGCATCTCTAACACTTAGTTCTGTTCATCACTGTTCTTTTCCATTCATTACAGGCCCCTCCCTTCATCCAACTTGGCATGGGTCCATGAGGGGTTGGTTGGGCAGCTATGAGCTAGGAGAATGGTCCCTGGACAGGCTGTGCTCAGAATCCTCCCCCAGTCCTGGGCCTCGTTCTGATGCTGGGAGGGTGTACCCAGACCCCCTCCTCAGACCAACATCTGCCCTAAACAGTGCACTGACATATTTCCCAACTACTTGGCATCTTAGTCCCAGGTGCAGGTCAGGTGGAAGGTGTGAGCAGGTCTCTAACTACAAGTCATCTGTGTTGCCAGTACCCCATCCTGTGCTCATAGCAGACATCACCAATCAAACATGGTGTTCTTTCCCACTGAGCCAGGAGTTGCCTTCAAAATCCTTCTCACCAACCCTCTACTGGCAGTGTCTACCAGTGGGCTGAATTTAGAATTTTGAATGAAGCCTTTTGTCACTGTGGCCAAGGCCTTGCCCTAAGACACTTTTAGACAGAGCCCTTGGAATCCATGTGAGCTCCCAGGTGTGGGTGGTGCCTCTGGCAGTGTTCAGGATGCTGGAGCTCTGTCTGCACTTCAGTCCCTGCAGCTCCATGAGTCTCTATGCTCCATTGTGCTAACCATGTGGGAAGACCAGCCTTGCAGGTGGCAGTCACTGCAATTGGTTCTGGGAACTTGTTGGGTTAATGAGAAAGAAGTGGTTGTCTACCAAGCCCCCGCTCTTCAAGTCCTTTCTCTGGAAATGGAGGTGTAGCTTGTGAACTTTCTTGCATGGTATCTGTGCACGTTCATCTGAGGGATGGGAGCTGGTTTCAGGATATAATTTCAAACAAAGATGAGAGCTAATGAGTTGTCACAGGTGACATTGAACACATCTTGACCTTGAGGATGTAAACAATCAAAACCAAAAGCTAAAACCACTTATATTAAACCCAGTGGGTGGCTCAAATAACTGTGTGTTTTTACATGCAATGTTTCATTACCTCATTGTTTCCTTCTAAAGTCCCAAAAACCATTTCCTGAGAAGAGAGATCTTAAGGTAAATGTGCCTTGTCAGTTATAATAGAAGCCCCACAATAAAAACCAACTGACATTGATTGAGGACTGGTATAATCCAGAGGTCATGTAGCCAAGTGGGAACAATTCAATACTACATCACAGGATTGCAGTGAGGACTATATAAGTTTATATGGGTAAAAGACTTAGAACAAAGCTTAGTATATTGTAAGTACTCTATGTCCAATAATAACAATAATGGTAACGATAATAATAGTTAATATTACCATCTTTGGGTACTTTTGACTTGATCTTTATTAGAATTCAGGCAGAATACTCATTTTTAAGATGATGAAACCGAGAGTCAGAGATGTCAGACAATGCTCTTCCCATGATACCATTTTGCTTTTTGACAACATACGGTGCTTTTTAATCAGGCTGAACCACAATGTGTCATGGAAACAGAAGGCCTAAAATACAATGGCCAGGGCCAAATATATGGTTATTAGTTACTTAACAAGAGGTCTAGGGATTGGTCAGCAGCCGATTCATGTCATCAAGGACCCAGGCTGTGTATTTCCGTTCTACCTTCCCCAGTGGCTGGTTTTCTATCCTATTCCTGCTGCCTTATTGTCACAGAATGGCTGCAAAGACTCCATGTATCAATCACATCAATGTTCAAGGCAGGTACAAAGGGGAAAGCGTGGGGCCAGTCACATGTGTCCTTTTGTCAGTAAAGCAAAAGCCTTATCAGAAGCCCCCTAACAGATTTCTCTCACGCCTTTCACCAATATTGAGTGTCATGGTTTCTGCTAGAAAGCAAATTTCTGGCTTTCCAGCCTCCGAAGTAGAAGGGAACAAGGGTCAAGGGAGTTGCAGATGGTGCTGGACTAGCCAGACAACAGTGTCTGTTCATGTGGAAATTGGGTTGTATTTTTTTTGCAGAGCTATGGAATAAGAGAGATGATTGGAATCTAATCATGTACTCTTCTTTTGGGCAGATGCACGTCTATTCTTTAGGAATGACCCTCTACTGGTCGGCAGGGTTTCATGTTCCGCCACATCAGGTTTGTAAACAAGATACTTCAAGTCTTGCCAGGCTATGTCTTTGGGTTTATTTAGTGGTTTTCTCCTGGGCAGGGACCACATTTACTGAGCACATATACCACTACTCTCCCCTCCTCTAGGTCCTAGGCAGGCGTTGTGAACTCATCACACAACTCCTTCCTGCTAGTGCAGAAACAACCTCAGAATCCTACTCAACATAGCACTCCAGGCAGCCACAATTTGGGACTGGCAAGCAAGATAAGTTTGGCCATCTCCACTCAGGGGAAGTATTAATAGCAAGCTAGAGAATTTTATAGACACTGAAGATACAGATTTACATATATTTTTTAAAAGGCTTTAAAACAGCCCTTCCCAAAGTGAGATGCTTCCCTGAAAAAGGCTTCTGGGCTCAACAGATTTGGGTAAATGCTCCCTACAGTATCTCCCTCTCAAATAGTTTTTAGAGTCATTTTTTAAAGACTACAAGAAGGTTTAAAGCTTAGAAACTTTTAAACTTTATCCTGGCTGGGCATGGTGGCTCACACCTACAGTCCCAGCACTTTGGGAGGCTGAGGCAGGCAGACCACTTGAGCTCAGGAGTTCGAGACCAGCCTGGCCAACATGGCAAAACCCCATCTCTACTACAAATAAAAAAATTAGCTGGGTGTCGTGGTGCTTGCCTGTAGCCCCAGCTACTCGGGAGACTAAGGCATGAGAACTGCTTAAACCCTGGGGACTGGGAGGGGAAGGTTGAAGTGAGTGGAGATTGAATCACTGCACTCCAGCCTGGGCAACAGAGCAAAACCCTCTCAAAAAAGATATACACAAAAATATCCTAACATTTTACACAATTTTTGAATACAGAATAGAAGTGTTTGTATACATTTCCATTTGACACTATAACAATTCCTTAGAGACTGGTGCCACAAGAACACATGCTGGAGAGCCCTGCCCAGCTGACCCGGCCAGAATGGCTCCCTCCCTTCTCCCTTCCTTCCTTCCTGCCTTTCTTTCTACTCACCCCATCCTCTCCAATTCAACATTCGGCCCTTCCTGGGTGGTCTCTCTAAAAGAGAGACCAGCTCACCGCTGTCACATGCAACCTTTTGTAACGCCTCACTGCCCATGGGGTTGCCTTCTGGCTTCTCAGTGAGACACACCTGGAGCCTAGGATAGGGTCCCTTCTTCCGTCTGGCTCCCCTTTGGCACTCTGCCAGAATCAGGACCGGCTTTCTGGATGTGTGTCCTGGATGTGTGACCCTGTGTCACAGCACAGGGTCCTGCATTTAGTTTAATGCTCTGCTATCCCTGTCTTGGAATTCTTAATAATTTTGAACAAGGGACCCTACATTGCCATTTTCCCCCAGGCCCCTGTCCTGCTCATAATCCCCTTCCCTTCAGATGCGTGTCAGCTTATCTCCATCTTCATGCCTTTGCACACACTGATCCCTTCACCAGCACCTCACTCCCCACTTTCCTCTTGGTTAACCCTAGCCTTGGCTAAGCCCCTTCCTTTACATTAGTGCCATGGCCTGTGCTTCCCAAGGTCAAAGCCCTTGTCATCCTCTATGGTCTTTGTCTCTTTTAGTGACTGTCTCTCTCATCACACCATTATTTTCCTGAAGGCAGGGACTGTATCTGGTGTGGCTGGATTTACTGTGACGGCAGGACTCAGCAGCTTGGCTGTATACAGAGATAGGTGCTCACAGCTGATGCTCCCTGGCAAGAAGCGGTAGTGCAGCCTTTATCTGGAAAGTGACCTGCAGTGTGGGTTGCGCTTGAGAAACAGTCTGATTTTGAATCTGAATTTGAGGCCTTTCTCATATGAACTGTGATCATTTAAATGCATGAGGGAAATGCTTATAAGATGCTTCCGTTTTCTTTTGCTCGATACGTACACGTGACATAAAGTTCAACCAGCAACGATTGAGCATTTGTGCTGACTGCTGGCTGTTGTGAATTGAACAGGAATAGGCCACAGTCTGTATGTCCCTGGAGCTCACATTCCAGGGGAAGGGCCCAGTGAGACCCCATGAGTGACTGGATGCAATGACAAGCTGCGCAGGTGAACTTGAGTGAAAGGCTGACCTCTGGTTTGATTTGGGGTGCTTGGCACAGGTGGAAATCCGTCTTGTCAAAGCATCTATTTTTCATGAGCATTCCAAGCACGCTTGGACAGAAGGGTGTTCTGGTTTAGAAAGCAGCCGGCAACACAGAACTGATGCAGAGATGATTGCTCTGCACTTTGCGTCCTCAGTGATGGATCTTGTGTGTCCTTAAACTCTCCAGAAGGAGCAGGCATCTGCTCTGGTGCTTGTGGGAACACCCATTTCCATGTCTCCAAGGCCTGCCTGACAAGGTGCTGCCTCGCAGCAGCAGCTCTTACTGCTCTCTCCTCTCACCGGCCCTGTCTGCCTCCAGCCCCTGCAGCTCCGTGAGTCCCTGCACTCCATCCTGCTGACCATGTGTGAAGACCAGCCTCACCGGCGGTGCACATTGCAATCGGTTCTGGAAGCTTGTCGGGTTCATGAGAAAGAAGTGTCTGTCTACCCAGCCCCTGCCGGTCTCCACATTAGAAAGCTGGCTGGCTTGGTTCTGGGCACCATTTCCGAGGTCAGTAGAGAACCGTGTTTTTTAAGCAGTAGCCACTGGCCTTGTGTGGCTATTAACATTTGAATTAGTTAAATTATAATTAACTAAAATAAAATAAAAAATTAAATTAATCAGTCACATTTCAAGTGCTCAGTTGCCACTTGTAGCAGGTGATGACCCTATTGAACAGGGTGGATCTAGAACATTCTTGTCATTGCAGTTCTATTGGGCAGTGCTGACAAAGACCTTTGGGCAAGCCCCAGTTTCTCACATGGGTAAGACCCTTGACATCTTGGCGAGTGCCTCCTTACATAAAGCAATCATGTTTAGAACCTATGATTCAGTTTTCTTTTCAAAATTCAACTCCAGGTTCTGCACAGAAGCCTTCCCTGACTTCATTTTTGTGGTCCCTGGGTACCCTCCCCTCTGCTATTTTATACCTGCAGGGGGTCCTTTGTTGTGCTTGTCACACTGTGCTGCTTGCTGCCCTGTGCACTCCCCAGAGTGCAGCAAGGGACGTGGCACATGGGAAGCATTTGACTTAGGTTGGATTCCCTCCAAGCTAACCCAGAGACAGGGATTCTTGTGCAAGTTATTTATTGGGGAAATGTTCCTGGGAGAGGGGAGTGATGGTAGTACAGCTGACAAGTTGAAGGATAAAGTCTCAGCTGGAGACAGGCCCAGCCTGGCCACCTGGGGAACTCTGGTGCAGAAATGGCACCTTGGAGTTGGTCCCCCATGAGACCCGGGTGGAGCTGGGGTAGGATGGGCAAGTGAGGTGCCTATGGCACAAAATGTAAGGAAGTCTGTATTTGGGAGGAACCAAAGGCAGGTAAGCTAGAGACCAGTTGGGTGGCTGCACTTGTCCAGGGACAAGTTGGAGAGCTGAGACCAGGATTAATGAGGGGCCATGTGGATGGAGATGAGGGGACAGCAAGGTGGATAGTGGCAACAGTCAATCAGAGAAGGCCTCTTCCATCAGAGAAGGTCTCCTTCTTGGACCCTTTCTCTCTTGGCATGGGAACCTGTGGCTCCTGTGAATTGAGCCAGAGGGTTTGTTGGGGGAAGCGGACTATATTTATTTGAAAGATACTGAAGTCTACCATCCACTGGTGTGCCATTGTCCTTGGATAGACACTGTATTGACCTGCAACATTTCCATCAGGGACCTGCAAAGTAGATGTCAGTCACTTACCAGCATTCACTGGGCACTGCATTAGGTGTGCTATGGCAGTGCGTAAAGCACACAGAGATGCTGGGGGAGACAGACAAGCAGCACACTCAGGGAACATGGTGCAACAGAGCCAGGTGTGAGTGCAGTGATAAGGGAAGGTGATCAGAGGGCAGAGGTGGAGAGGCTTAGAAGTAGAGAGGACACAGTTCTGGGTCTGGTGGGCACAGAGGAGCTTCTGTGCCCACAAGAGGGAATGCATGAACAAAGGCACAGATGTGTGTGAGTGCGCAGGTCTGGAGTGGGGGGTGAAGTGCCTTCAGGGTGCATGTGGGGGATGGGTACAGAGCACATTCTGGGTGCCAGAGAACACATCATTAGGTGCTCACTGTGTAGGGCAGACAATTCCACATTGATTCAGTCTGACAGCCAGTTTGCATGTATCTATAAAAACGCCCCCTCCTTATCTTGGTATGTGGATGTGGGATGCACTTGACCCCCAGGTGGAGAAAAGAGTTGTGGAGGAAAGCTCCTCTGTGCAGCAGAACAGAAGCTGCCTGCTCAGGAAGAGGCTGCATGGGACAAGCAGTGAGAGCCCAGCGGCACAGGCCTCGGAGTGTCTGCATCCTTGCAGAGGTGGGTATGTGCCCTGAGCAGTCCCTGCGTGGGCCGATGGTACCAATTCTATTGTTTCCTGCCCTGTATGGGCCACACATTCACATTGTGATGGCAGAGAAAGCCTATGTAAGTGCCACTCTTTCAGGAAGCCACTGAAGATAAGGGGCTGAGCTTAGGACTCACCTGTGTTCCCAGGAAAGTCTCATTTGGGGACACAACTTAACACAGTTATTTATATCAAATGAAAACTTTAAAAATGAGTTCTAACTGTCCAAGTTGAGAAAATCCAAATTAAAACAAACAACAAGAAAAGAAAAACTTGATTTTTTTTCAGTTATTTTTCTGGGTGTGTTAAAAGAGTGGTTTTTGGAATAATCTTCAAATCTACTGTTCTCTACTTTTCAACTCAATCTGAGCTTTTTTTAAAAAATTAATGTTATTGTTTGTTGTCTCTAAAACAAGGTGCACTTTGCCATTAGGCTTTATCTTCCCTTGTAACTCTCCCTCCAACACTCTATAACTGTCCTTTCTGTTTTCTACATGAGAAACAGATTCAGAGAGGTTAAGTAATTTCACCAAGGTCACACAGCTAGTAAGTCATGATGCCATTCATGCTCTGGGATGCCTGATTTAAGAAACCCTATGCCCTCTACCATGTTGCTTGGTTAGTTTCTGCCCATGCCCTCTACCATGTTGCTTGGTTAGTTTCAGAAAGAAGCACGGAGACCCAGAGCTCGCCAGATCCCCATTGGAGCACCTCAACACATAGTCACTGCAGCCTCCTTGTTAACCGGTAAGCAGCAAGGCCTGCAGGGTGCTGTGAACTTGATGTGAGACATAAGTGTGGGGGCTACGGTACCTTATTTCTTTACTGATTATTAATGAGAAGCCTCTTGCTCCTCCAGAAAATGCCAATGCTGTTCCATTAGCAGTTGAAGAAGCCACATTTAAGCAGATCCAAAGCCAAGATGATGGGGGCCTGGTGGCAGCTGTGCTGTCAAGGGATCCTGTTTCCCCTGGGAACCATACTCAGGCCGAGTGGCAGAGCGACAGCATGCCTCAATATTGTTGCCATTATCCATTGCCATATCATGCTGCATAACAAGCAACCACAAAACACAGTGGCTAAAAGCAACAATTATATATTTAGCTCATGATTCTGAGTTGGTCATTTAGGCTGTGCTCAGCTGAGAGGTTTTCTAGACTCTGCTGAAAGCCTTCCTGCATCTCTGACTATCTTCAGCTCGGCTAGCCAGCCTCTCCTGGGGGGTGAATGGCCATTGTCTAGGAAGCTCTGGCTCTCCTCCATCAGCAGGTCAGCCTAGGATTGTTCTCGTGACAATGGCAGAACTGAGAGAGAGGAACTGAGAGAGAGAGAGAGAGAGAGAGAGAGAGAGAGAGAGAGAGAGAGAGAAGAGAGGAGAGAGGAGGGTGAGGTGCATAAAGCCTTCAGAACTGGCCTTCCATCATTTCCACATCATTCTGTTGGCCAAGTCAAGCCTAAAGGCCAGCCCCATTTCAAGGAGTAGGAAATAGACTCCTTCTCTTGATGGCAGGAGGATGCAAAGTCAGATTGCAAAGGGTGCAGATCAGGGAGAAGAATTGTGGACATTTTTGCACTTGTCTAACTTAGGATGCTTGAATCAGATCAAAACCTAGATGGGCTCATGTCTTCCTGGACCTGGAACCTTATTCATTTTGAAGTTCGGGTGATTTATTTATTCACATATTGACTGTTGAGGGCTGTAACGGTGTCTTGTCATAGTTGATGTCAAATCCACAGTTGGCACCCTGATTGGATATTGTAGAGTTTATCTTGCAATTATTTTTTCCTGCCATTTAAAACTTTATTTTCCCAATGAAAACAGTTTTTATCCCCTGATTCCTTAAACAATATATTTTATTGTCAAAATATTTTGAGCAATATATCAAATTCTAAAGAAGCCAGAACCACTGCAATCCCATGACCTGCTGGGTGGTTGCTCTAGACCTGTGGTCCTGGCACCACAAACAGAGACGCAGAGCCATGGGGTGGAGAAGTTGACTGTGCCTTGCACCTCCAACCCCATCACACCCCAGTGGCTGTGCAGCCTAGTTTTTCCAGGCCTCAGCTTCCGCCACTTGAAAAGTGGATGTGACTGCCCCATAGGTGGGGGAGAAGGTGACATGCATCAGTGGGTGCACCCTGCCCAGCTGAGCCCCCGTGTGGGTGGTCTTTCATGCAATGGAAGCCCTTGTCTTTGCTAAGTGCTTCACCCCTTCTCAACCCCTGGCCAGTGCTCTTTCAGGAGCAGATCCCCAGGACCAGCAGGAGGGCCGGAGGCTCAGCTCTGGATCTGTGTACTCAGCAGCAGATAGCTCATGGCCAACAACTCCTTCTCAAAAGGGTTTTCTGCAAAGAAGGAGCAAGGTAAGCAAAAGAAGGCTGAAGGGCACTCCTCAAGGAGGCTTGAGCAGGGAGCTGTGGGTGGCTGGCACAGTGGCTGAAAATGGGCCAGGTCTTCTAGGGCACAACTTCCCTGGGTTGAGGTTTATAGGATTGGACCAACATAAACCTGAAATTTGAAAGTTAGGGCATAGGCATTCACTATGTGGTCTTGCTGGGGCAGGCTCTGTGGGGGACATTGTGTAGGATGTAGGGTTGAGGACATTGGGTCCCACCCTAGAGGAAGTTTGCAGCCACCCTGCGCAGGGTGATGGCAGAGCGTGCTATGTGATTCGAGAGCTGACAAGGCAGAATGTGTTTGGAAGGGGCCTTCTGCACAGGTGAAAGGCAGGAGCACAGATCCAGGGCCACAGGGAGGGCTTCTTTAGGGAGGAGAGAGTCATTCTTCCAGCTGGGTAACCCTAAGCTGACTCCCAGCTGAGTCCTGCTGGCCCTCCCAGCCTCAGCTAGGGAATGCTGTGAAACATCTACCAGGTGCCAGGCACTATTCTAGGCCCCCACCTATGCTGTGAATGAAACAAAGTCCTTTTCATGTGGAGATTACATTCTAGAAGGAGGAGGCAAAAACAGACAAATGCATAAATATAAAAGAATGCCACGTAGTGATTTGTGATAAAAACAAAAACAGAAACAAAAAAAACAATGAAGAAAGGAAGAGGATAATAGGGTTAGAGGAAATGTGCCTCTCTGTCTGTCAAAGTTAAAGCCCCTCGACTGAGCTGAGCTCCAAACAGCCTCAGGATGTCCCTCTTCCTGTTTGGCCTATGGTTCCCATACCCCGGCCCGGCCCCCACTGTCCTCCTAGGCCCTTCTCTGGCCTCCACGAACTTGGTGGAGGGTGTGAAGAGGGCTTCTGAGAGGCCTTGTCCACCTCCTTAGGCTTTTCTTCCTGATCACTCACTAAATATACTTCTGTTGGGAACTCTTGTTGGACACAAGTCACTTCTGGGCTGGAATTTTGGCCTCTTGGGACAAGAGTCCTGCTAGGTACCCTTGAGGGCACTATAGAAGCCCCACCCAACCCTATCACTTGCTGGTTATATGACTCAGATGAACTTCTTAAGCATTTTTTTTTTTCAAAAGTGAGGAGCCTCAATTTCCTCACCTGTAAAATGGGTTGAGAATATACCCCCCACAGGGGGATAGCTGGGTCTAGCTAGTGATGGGTATTGCAGTATTTTGTGGGTCAAGTGTAATACAAGTACACTGAGAACAAGAGCTGCCCACTAAGCTATTGATTCAACATCTAGAGCTAGAAAACGTTTCAGCTCATCTAAATCTAAAAGTGTTTTTGTTTTTTAAAAATATTTTTATTGCATTTATATTTATATTATACATTTTATACTTTTTATACATACAAAAGATGGAGTTCTGTGTGAATTATGAAACTTATAATTCATCCCGAACACCCCTGTACCCAACTTAAGAGCCAGAATGTTGCTGATACCCTATACTCACCTGTAAGACTTCTGCTCCAAGATGTACCGTTTAGCTAGGGCCTCAGCCCAGGTCAGCCCCATTTTGGCCTGTTTCCTGCTGGCTCTGGGGAATGTGTGCTGGTGGGGGTTGCAGAGGTGCATCATGGGGGAAGCCCAGACCTAAAGCCTGGAATCTGTCGTCTTCTCTACCATATGTGACTGTTTTCCTCCAGTTTTCCAGGCCAGAGTTCATCCTGTTGGCTGGAGAGGCCCCGACGACACTACATCTGCCGGGATCGGTTGTGGTAACTACTGGGCTAGACTGGGCAGGGATGGAGGGTGGTGAGGGAAGTGGGCAGTTGCGGGAGGCCACTTGTGTCTGAATGGGGTCTCACGTGGGGACACCCCAGTGACATTCAGTTTCCCCCCGACCCCTGCCAGAAGCATCACTACCTCCCACTGCTGCTGTTTTCCCTTTGGCCTGTTAAAGGGACCCCATGTGACTTCCAGCTGAGTCCTGCTGGCCCTCCCAGCCTCAGCTAGGGAACGCTGTGAAACATCTACCAGGTGCCAGGCACTATTCTAGGCCCCCACCTATGCTGTGAATGAAACAAAGTCCTTTTCGTGTGGAGATTACATTCTAGAAGGAAGAGGCAAAGACAGTCAAATGCATAAATATAAAAGAATGCCAGGTAGTGATTTGTGATAAAAACAAAAACAAAAAAAACAATGAAGAAAGGAAGAGGGTGGAGCATGGCAGGTGGTAGGAGGGAGAGTATGCTCTTTTAGATGGGGAAGTGGCTCTGGGGAAGCATCTTGTGAACAAAGACTGGGTGAAGACAAAGAGTGAGCCATGTAGGCTTTTCAGGAAGGGCAAATACTGTGTGGGCTGTCAGTTTCCTACCCCAGAGCCTGAGCATGTCCCCTGCAGAGCCCCATGTGTGGCTGGTCTCACCCTGAGCTCCCCAGGAGGTATCTGTCCATGTTCAGGTCCATATCTCTGTTGTCCAGGGCCCAGTTGGGGCCGGGAGCTTTTCAGTCAATGTTGAGTATTTGAATGTGAGCCTTTCCCATCTCCCCAACCTCCAGGGCTGGAAGCGCACACATTGTCAATTTGGCTTTCTGGGCCTCTGTTCAGGGCCTCCTGGAGGCAGGGCTAGAGTGGGGCGTGGCTAGACGCTCTCTCCTCCCAGGCTCCTGCATCACCTACCACTTGTCCTTCCTGCACTGAAGAGCACCAATGAGCCCACCTCTGGCCCACTCCAGCAAAATCCCATTGAATCCCAGCTTCCATATACTCCCCTGTCAAGGGAATGTCTGTTTCAGTGCACTGACATCATTCCCTCTACACCTGAGTCCTGCAAGTGTTGAAACAAACTGGTCAGTACAAGTGGGATGCCTGCCTAACCCGGGCCTCCAATTGCTATGCAATGACCAACTGCATCAATTCATGTAGCACACGCTGACTGGGCACCCACTGTGTGCCTTGTCCCTCTGCACTGACACAAAAAGTATGAAGTGGGATGATAACTTTTACACCCCAAGTATGCAAGATTGAGTTACCCAAAGCATGAAAATGCTAAACTTAAGGAGACTGGTGTGTGAGGGGCTGGGGGTGTCAGGGTGGCTCACTCTGGAGGTCTACAACTTTCTGAAGACACTTCCTGTATGGGGCTTGCAAGTCAGAGGGCCATGGCCTCCTCAGGCCAGTCCCACCTCTGCCCATCCTCTTCAAATCACCAGCCCTCAGCTGAGGGGAAGAAAGGGAAATTCACCCAGGAACCCCTTCCTGACATCCCTGTGGTCACATGGTTTATGTGACTGGAGACTCCTCTACCCACCAGGTAGATGGGCCAGACCTGCTGTGATGGGGGCCAGCTTCCCCTGCTCTGCAGGGACGCTTGTGCAGTGCTTAGGTACCAAGATTCCAGGTGATGGGAACGGTGCTATTGTCCCAGTTCTGTCCGGGGCGAGCATCTTGACCTACACACCAGGTCTAGGAGCCTAGTTATAATCCTCAGAGGGGATCTTGAACCCTAGCCTCTAGAAAGATGCCAGAAAGGCATGAAGGTGACCGAGGGCTCCCTCAATAAAAGACTTTTTGGACCTCTGTCCCTAACCTGGGAAAGGGGAGGCCCCATTCCCAGGGTTTCCTATGTCACTCGGTCTGTTTGTCTGACTTGAACTGGAGCATTTGCCCCTGTTGCTTTAGCCCCCCCTTTCCTGTCCCCATGGTCCTCAGTCAGTGTAGCTCTCTATGTCTCCCTCTAAGTGGAGTTCTTCGTACACACACCCTTTCCTTCTGCTTCCCTATGGGTGTTGGGAACAAAACAGATTCCCCTCACAGCATGACTGTCCCATGGGAAACACTGGCAAATAGGCTCACTGAAACGTGAAGAGGCAGCATCCTGTGTTCAAAAGCAGCCACCAGAGGAGCTGAAATATAAAACATTTTCTTTTTTCTCCATGTGTACTTTCTCTGTCTCAGCATGTCATGGTGTTTTTATTTTTTATTTGCTGTTTAATGTCACATTCTCTTGGGCATAGGGGTATTCACGAGGTGGACAGAGACCCTTGCAGGTACCTGGGACCCTGCCCTGTGACTTTGTCACACCAGTTGCTGGATCCATGCACCATGCCCCACGCAGGGTGAAAAAGCCCAAGCTCCCTACCCATGACTCTGCTGCCCCTGTCCAGACAATCAGTGGTCCTCCAAGGGGTTACACCCTTTGTATGGAGATACATTTGGTACCTGGCTTGGGGGCTGGGTGGGTGAGAGGCTTCTCCCTGCTGAATCGCCCATGGAAAGAGCTTTGATGCTGGTGGGGACAGCCACTGTCATGGTTGCTCTGACACGCCTTGGGTGCATGTGCCTACTTGGGACCTTTCCTCCACCAGCCCCTGAGGAGGGCATCACTAGGGGGCAGTGAGAGCCATGGCTGCCCTCAGTGGAGGGCAGCAGAGGTCACTGTGCGGGGAAGACGAAGGGGCAGGGGAGGCTGGGCCAGGCCTGGGGATTCAGAGAGCAGAGGAGTTGGCAGCCAGAACCCTCCAAGGAGGAGGGGAGGCAGGACTGCTGAAAGTCGAAGCTTTGTATACACGCTCATTGTCCCGGGGACTTCACTTAGAAAACACACATTCCAAGACACAGCTATTAAGAGTGCCCAGAGGGCAGCTTCAGAGCACTGGAGCCAAGCAGGAGCCCATCACTGGCGGGCATACGATTCATCACTGAGGGCCTGGGCAGCCCTCTCAGGAGGCAGCTGGGATTTCTGCAAGGGAAAGAAGCGGGTCAGATCTGCCTCCCAGCCTTCCTGGCCCTCGCAGAATCAACTTGGGAAGCTTTACAAGATATTGATTTCCCAGGTCTTGTGCCAGACTGACAGAACCATCTTGGGGGTGGTCCCCTCACCTCTCAGGTGACTCAGGTGTGCAGCAAGTGTGGGAACTGAGGTGGCGTGGAGTGTGCCTGTGTGATCAGCCCTGCCCAGCAACTTGTGGGAAACCCCCTCCCACAGGGTCTTCAGATCTGTTCTGGCCCTTGGAGTGCGTAGGCTGCCCCTGGGTGCCAGGAGGGTCAGGGTGTGACTGCAAGCATGGTCTCGATGGCACTAAGGCCACATATGCTAGTGTCTCTCCATGACTGTCTTCTAAAGAGAACTTCCTGGGGGAGGTCCAGGCTGGGATTTGGGACATGGGGATACTAAGGAAGAGCCACAGACAAGGGCTTCAGAGCCTGACCAGACAGACCCATAGGAGTTTGCTACGTGGGGAGGGAGTGGAAGAGCCCTGGGGGCAGTGGGTATTATATGTGCAAAAACACAGGCAGAATGGCCCAGGCGGCTGCCTGGTGATGAACTGTCCAGGAGGCTGAGCCGAGGCGACAGTGGTCTGGGTGGGGCTTTGGTGGGAGATGAAGAGGCAGAAGGCAGACTCTGGAGGCTCTTTGGCTCTGCTGACCCATTTCTAGAGTCTAGGTCATCCCCTTGCTCCAGCTCTGTCTCTTCATTGGATCTGCACCCACCCAATTCTCTCTGAAGTTTAGAATGAATTAACCTGTGCTCTGCTGGAGCCTGGGTAGACAATGTCAGATCGACAGAATGATCCAGGGCCATATGATTCATTGATGAGGGCCCTGGGTGACCTTCTTAGGAAGCAGAACCCAAGGGGCAGCTGGGATTTCTGCAGGGGAAAGACATCAGTCAGACGGGCCTCCCAGCTTTCCTGGCCCCTGCTGAGCCTGGCTGAAGGCTCAGATTTGAGTTCAGTTCCTGCCTTACAAACTTTGCAAACCCTGGGCAAGACTCTTACCATTTCTGAGCCTCAGTTTCTCATCTGCTGCATAGGAATTGTAAATATACTCATCTCTTAGAGTTGTTTGTCAATTAAGTGAAACAATGCGTGTAAAGTGCTTAGTACAGTAACCAGCACACACTAAAGGCGTAATGACTTATAATTATAGTATAATTGATACTATTGTTGTTTTCAGACCAAAAAAGGGAAATCCTATTTGGCTCTCAGGGACCTCTGTGTGGTCCTGCTGAACGGGCAGCGCCTGGAGGTAAAATGTGATGTCGAGTCAACAGTGGGAGCTGTCTTCAATGCCGTAACGTCCTTTGCCAAGCTTGAGGAACTCACCTACTTTGGCTTGGCATATATGAAAGGTAAGCATCTCTTGGGCAACTCCCAGCTGGCCTGGTGCCTCCAGTAACTTGGGTGTCTGGGTACCTGAGCTCTGTTTCTTCTGGGAAAACTGTTTGAGACTTGGGTGCCTCCCTTTGTATACCTAGACATTAGCCAGCATGATGAGGGCTTCAAGTATTTACGGATAAAGCATCAAGCAAGTGCAGAAGATTGTCAGGAAATAATGAGTGTAAGATGTGGGTTTCTGTGGCTTGCTGGATCTGGTTGATTGATCTCAGGGCACTGAAGTTAGACAAACAAGCAAATGTTAAAAGCATTTCTATCTAATGATGCAGGACTAATGGGGACTCAGTACCCTGACCCTAGGAGCCTAATTAAGATTCCATTCTAAACATCCAAGAAAAAGGGTTTCTATACCCTCTTCCCTCTCTGACGTTCCATTAGAGACTCTTTATTTCTACTGTCAACCTAAAATAACAGTGGAGAGAGACAGGCTCTCCAAAGAATGAGTTTATTTGGGAATTAGCAGAAAATTGCAATCTAGGATCCACATGCTGTAGTGAACTATAGATGCATCTAAGGAGGTTGGGCAAGGGCAAGCCTTTATAGACAAAAGAGAGAAGTACATGCGAGTTGTTTCGAAACTAGAAGATGATCGGTTCCGAGGGCTTATTGCAGGAGTTGACATCAGTTCATTAGTGAAAACAGTGTCAGGCAAGTGTTCTTGTGTGAGTGGCGAGCTGTGCTTGTGTGGCCTAGCTGTCCTTGTGCTGCTGTCTGTCGTCGTGTGACTCATGTAGCAAGCTATGGTTTGGAAAAAAATTTCTATGGTATTTTTCATTATAGGTATAGAGCATGAGTGACCCCCCTCATGGCCTCCCAGCTCCATTTTAGTAGGGTTAAATATAAGTGACTTATTTTGGTATTGATAATGTTTACATTTCTCCAATCAAGTTATTGTTCTGAAAGCATCACTACTGGATCATCCTGTGGTTAGGTTTTGATTATTCCTCGGTGCTGGGATGGACCTTTCCTGGTCGTTCTAGTCTCATATTGAAGGGAAATGACCAGCAAGTAGGAGTTGGTGTCAAAACCTCTTTCAGCTTCATTTAAGCAACATGGAGGTTTGGAAGGAGTGGCTCTGAGGCTAAGTCTTTCTGGAGTTCATTGTTCTGTTTTCTAGGTGTTGGTGGTCATTTTGAAGTACTAGACCAGCACTGGGCATTTTGGTGAACTCTCTGTGTAGCTCGCACATCAGGCGGGAGACTTGTTCCTAGAATTTTACATCGAGTTGTCCAGTTTCAGTTTATAGGGCTTTAGGAACAGAGAAGTTCTTGTTCTTAGTTCTCCAGATACTGGAGGAAACAAGAAGAATTCAAGGTCCAGTTCAGTCTACAGGTAGATTAGAAACACACAAAAGCAATGAACAGGACTACAGTCAGATAACAGGTGTAATACAGTTTTCACCTTCCTTCAGAAGCATAATTTCTTATCTACAGTTACCCCCATTTTTACTAAAGATAATCACAATAAGACAAAATTGTTTGCTAAGTAAGTTTAGTCTCATCAAGTTTGGCCTGAGTATTTACGTAAGTGTATCAAGAATAGTGATTGACCACGCAGGCTCCTTTGAAGCTTGTTCTGCTAGAACTTTTGATAAGAATCTCAGCCTGGACTTTTAAAAGTCTCACAAGGCTAGGAGGCCAAATCAAGACAAATCTCAGTTTGGCTGAGGTAACTTTATGTGCATTTTCAAATATGACATCCAAGTCAAAGCCTTAGTAATATAACCAATTTTAAATATTGTATCCTGTTATAAAGAGAGCATATTTTTATTGAACTTATATAAATAACTATATTATCATAAAAATAAGAATACTTATGGTTAGTTTTAGAATTCTGGTTGGATTAGGTATGGAGAAAAAGCAAATATTTTAATTTTGTTCACAGGAGTGCACTTTATTATATTGTTGTAAACTATAGATAACGTACAAGGAAAAAGTTTCCTTAAATCTAGAAAACAAAACATTTAAAGAACCAGTGAAATTTCAAGTAAAAATTATAGAAACCCATTATTCTTTTTCATCCATTCATTCAGCCTCATGTAATTAATTCTTGTTCTGCTTGATCTTGGTTAGCAGTTTCACAAACTCAGTTTCTTTAGTGTCCTGGACATTTTTCCTTAGTCCAATGGTTTTATCTTGAAGTTATCAGAAACCTGTAACTTGTCAGAATTCTTTCCATCCTTTCTGTGAACCTCCTTGAAGAAAAAGCAATTTTTGGACTGTAGCTGATTGCAAGTGTGTTTAGAAAAGTATCAACACCATAATATTCCATGGATGACAAGGACTTAGAATGGTCATGGTTACAAATCTGAGGAGATTTTATTATAACCAGCAATTGACAGAGAAATTTGGTTATTTCTATGGCATATATCATTTTAACATAATAACCAAATATTGTACTAAGCCATACGGGAGTTCTAGCAATTTTGTACAATTTTAGGAACATTTATATCAAAACTATATTTGTAAATATAACTTAAAGTTTTCTTACCACTTGTTATTGGACAATGTTTCCCATGCATTTTAAAATATTGAATAAACCCAATTAGTTTAATATCTCTTTTACAAGGTGAGGGACATATCCTTTGTTGCTTTCAAGGGTCCAGCTGGAAAACCCAAAGTAAATTCAAGGTCAAAAAGACTCAATTTAGAATTTGATTTTGGGAAGGTGTCAAAGCTGTCAAAAGGTTAAAAACTCTTGATCAAAATAGAATCACAGGTCACTGTGAAATAATTGCCATTCATATAACCAAAGTGATAATTAAAAGGCTTCAAAGGGCAAATACATAGTGGTCAAAACTTAGCTCTTTTAATATTGAGAAGACTCACTTTTTTAAGTAATCAAAGACCTAATAAAACACAGCAGAGAGCACAAGAAACTATTTTGATAAAACACAAAATCTTTGTTTTCTAGGCCAATTACTAAAAAGTTAAGGAAAAACATCTTATATTAATATTAACAGCAGAGGCTAAGACTGCAATATAACTTTATTTTATTAACAGAGAAGACAAAATAATAGTTTTTCACAAGTATGCTTTTGATATTAAGGCTCAAGTTTTACAAAAACATAAATAAAGAATTTTCTTCTAATTTTAATTACCTTGATCACACAAAAATTTTTCATAATATTCATCTTCCATAAACCTTTTGCAATTTTCTCAAACTATTTATAATGTTCTTATTCAGTTTTATTAATATCACTTTTTTCTCTATTCGTTTTGAAGCAATCCTTAACTAACCTCCAACTAGAGAAAATTACTTTTTTAAAAAACAACAAATAAAAATACATTCTCATATCTTCCTTATAACTTTTCTCACCTAAATATATCTTACTTTTTTGTACACTTTGTATACAGAATTACGCATAGTAATTGAAATTTAAAAACTCTTGGTAACTTTAATTTCTAATGAAAACCAGAAAACTAGAAAGTAAGCAATCATAAACTGCCTTTTACAAATTTGTGAAAACATTATTGTATAACACCTAGAAATATATGCTCCCTCATAGCACATTTTTTCAGTGTAGCATACAGCATTTTAATTAACAGACCCAAATATCTTTTTTTCCTCTGCAGTGAGCAGACAAAAGTTTATAAGCTTAAACTTATGTTCAACAACTAATGTTTCAGCATTATATCTTTGGAAATGGTCTATTACATGAATATTCATCATTTCATTTAACTTACTATAACTTTAAGGTTTTAAGTAACCAAAAAGATTTTGTAAAGCATTTTAGGTAGATGTATCTTATAAAACATAATCATTGTTGTAAAGCTTACTTATATTCTATTTCATTTACATTTACATTTATCAATTCAGTTGGTTTTAACAATTATGTTTGAATTGTTTATGAAAACTCCATTAGACATTAAACAAATGTAGTCATTATCTTAAGTTATTTTTATTGTTTAGTAAATCAGGCAAGTATTAAAAAATACCACAGAAACAAAGGACCTAAAAGTTAAAACATATGGCTTTTTTTAACTCTCTTTTCTCATTGTCACATTTGTCACACATCAAGCAATTTATTTTTACTGTGTGTTTCATTCTTAGGTTGCGTTTATAATTTTATCATCTTAAACATACTTATGCTTTTGCCCAATAAATCCAGATAGAAGAAGTAATATGTCTGTATTATGTTTAATGTTGACAAGTCTCCACACATGCCTGTTTTAATTGAACCAAAAAACTTAAACTAGCTTCTGTGTTTACCAAAAATTATACCAGATCACCTGAACTCGAAAAACATTTAGGTTAGTTCTGTTTTTCTGAGAAAATAGTTAATTTATAAAAGTGTGTGTTTTCTTCCATCAAGCCAGATCTCACATGTCCCAATAGGACAGTTGTCAGGATGAGAACTGTCTAAAAAATACTTTTAAATATAAAAGTCCAAATATCCAAAGGTATAACCACTTCAGTTGTGACTCAAAGCCAGTAGCCTTTTATGGCTTAACCATGGATGCAAGAGGCTTCCACAAAAAGAGTGTGAAAACTGCAGTAACCCCATCGAGATCCAACATTTCTCCCAAAGATATAAAACAAAGGCCCTCCTTGTTAACAAGGTAGTGGAGGTTGAAACAATTGAGACAAATTCCCCTGGGAGCTGGCACTCTGGGACAAGGAGACGCTTCGTGTTTCAGACTCCCAGTCAGCTGGCTGGCCATCTGATGCAAACCTGACAGTCTCCCCATGGCCCGGCTGGTGGAGACCAGAGAAGATATCCTCACTGGCTACGGAGCTCTTGAGACATAAAACAAGATGAAAGGAGAGTCTTATCGTAACTTTTATCCTTGTGGTAAATCACACAGAAGACAGAGATTAAGGAAAAAAAAAGAGCTATTTCTGTTAGAACCTAGAACCAAATTCACAAAAGTCACAGTTCAGAGAACATTCTTACAAATGTTTTTCTCCTGCCAATTCAAATTTAGAAAAGAAGGGACAAGAAAAAATTTTTACCTTCTTCTCTTAGCCAGGCACTACCCATAGATATTTGGGAAAGCTGGCTTTGGAAAGAATCCCCACGTTTTGCAGACTTTTGCCAGAGACTCTCGGCATCTCATCCATAGCCTGGAGTGAGTGGCGTGTCCAGCCTGTTAGGGTGCCATCCTCATTGCCAGAAACTGTAAGGATGGAAAATTACCACTTCTATCCTTTATCCTCACAGCCTCCAGCTGTGTCTGAGAAGTAAACTAACATAAGAAAGATCAACAGGAGAAAAGCATAATAAATGTTTTATGTGGTATGGGAGCCCCCATAAGAAGATGAAGACTCCAACAAATTAGTTACTGGGTTGGACAAAGAACAGTTAATTGTGAAAATGGGACTAAATTATGAGAAGGCTTAAAAGATCAGAGTTATTCCAACAAGGTCTGTGTGGTATTTTGTCTAAACTTCTTGTCCTTGAAGATAAGGGTGTTGCCTTTCCTTCCAGGAGAGGGAGGATGACTATCACATGGGAATTTCATCTTCGTTAAGAAATAACACAAAGGTCAAAGTGGCCAATTTGCACCTGCTCTTAAAAGTGCACTTAAAAGTGTCTTTAACTTAAATAGCTGATAGGCCCAAATGGCAGAGTATAACTTCGTTATTCTACCCATCTAGAACTTTCCTAGAAGATTCACATATTAAAAGATGACTTGGTGGTCATTAAGAGAAGAATTGGGTTAGTAGTTGAGCAGTTTGGAAAAAAGGAGTTCAGCTAGAGGAAGACAAAGAGGAGGAGGAATTGTAGATGGGGAGGGAAGGTTCTGGAGAGAAATGAGTCTCAGCTAGCTTTGAGATATTTGCATTAAGGCATTTTTGAGTCCTGAATGCATTTTGAAGCCTCAAGATGCCAATTGAAATATGTGCCCCATGCAAACTGACCTTATAGCTGCAGACTTCTCATTTTAATTCTAAGGAAGAAACAAGCTTGGGCAGTTCAAATGATCTCCATCTGGCCACTGGAGTTCTAAATTATCTTTGGTATAATTTGCCCGTAAGCTTAAAAATTCATGGGGTGAATTATGTTTGAAAAGTCTATGTGATGCCAATTTAAATTCTGTGCACAAACAACCGACTCACCAGAAAGGATGCTAAATCCCCTACAAACGTGAAACCAAAAGAATACTCAGAAGAAGGACCATGTCCTTCACACCTATAAAACCAGATCTCAGATCAAGTCAAAGCTCAGCCAAAATGAGGGTGCTCGAATCCAAGACAGAACTTAGCACCAGCAGAAGGATGATTCCTGGAAGCAGAGAGCACAATGGACTCCAGTGCGCACTGCACGTGGTTCTGCGGTCACTAATATGGAAAAAGGCTTGTTCTTTTTGGATCCCACATCTCTGACACCAGGTTTTGCCAACCTAAAATAACAGCAAAGAGAGACAGGCTTTCCAAAGAAAGAGTTTATTCAGGAATTAGCAGGAGATCGCAATCCGGGATATGCATGTTGTAGAGGACTACAGGTGCATTCCAGGAGGCTAGGGGAAGGGGAAGCTTTTAAAGACAAAAGAGAGAAGTACATGTGAGTTGTTTTGAAACAAAAAGATGATTGATCCCAGGGGCTTATTGCAGGAGTTGACATCAGTTCATCGGTGAAGACAAAGTGTCAGGCAAGTGTTCTTGTGTGAATGGCTAGATGTCCTCGTGCAGCTGGCTGTCCTTGTGCTGCTGGCTATCCTTGTGTGACTCATGTAGCAAGCGGCAGTATGGAGAACATTTCCTGTGGTGTTTTTCGGTATAGGCATACGCATGAGTGCCCTTCCCTCATGGCCTTTTGGCTGCACTTTATTAGGGTTAGACATAAGTGACCTCATTTTGGTATTGATAACTTTCACACCATTACTGTAAATATCATGTTGCCACAGCTGGATCTCTTTAACCGCTGTGTGGAGGCTGAGCTGGCATCACACTGGCCTTCTGGCAAAATCCTCTCTCTCCCCGCCCAGCTGGCTTAGGTGTCATATCTCAGTGTTCCTCTATTTCCCTATTTGCAGTAGGAGAAGCTCACGAACTTGTATGATTTTTCTTTGTACCAAGCAGGGCTGGTGACAGCATGTTCTTATCCCCATAGTTCTCAGACCTTATAAAGATCTCTCTCCCAAATAAGAACAACTGTTATATGCTTTGATGTGATCAACTGATATTTGCTTGACCTTCCGTAAAGTGTGAATACAGGTGTCTTTAAGAATTGTATTGTTACTGATCTATAACATGCAATCTAATCCAGTGTGCTTGCATTGTGAGTGCACCTGCACTCACAAATCCACTTATATCCTGCCTGCCTACTCCCAATCAGGTGGCCATCCTGAGCCCCTCCCATGTGGACGATTCTACACCTGCCTAGCTAGGGTCATCTTGGGGAAATCACTCAAAAGTGTCTACCTCTAGGGTTTGGATATAGACCAACTTGGGAGGGTTCACCAACCAGCCTTTGGTGGGGAACTGCCTATCTCTTGGGGAGAATTCATCCTAAGGGAAGGATGAGTCCAGTGTGGGGCATCAGATTCAGCAGCAAGGGCAGAGGCAGGCGGCAGAGGTGATGGAGGTCTGAGTGCAGTGTGGTGACTGCTATTTAAACCCTGGACACCCCCTCCCCACCCCAGCATGCGTATGCATTGGGAGAAGAGGTTGGTCACCAGTTTAAAAGTTCTGCCTTCCAAAACTGGCAGGACTTCTGTGCCCAGGCAAGCTGCTAGAGAATGCTTTGGGCTGAAAGGGTGGACCACTGAGAAGGAGGAGCCACTTTGAGTGTGTGGTAGAACAGGACAGGGGCAGACCTGCAGCAGTCCCCAGGAGTGGCCGGGGGCACTGGAGGGGTTGAGTTTTGCTGTGAAGAGAGCAGAGGGGTGAGGGAAGGGCCTTCAGCGGCTGAGGCTGATTGAGCCTCCCTCCCAGAGGTACTGGAGGACACACTTGCCAGGATTTGAAGTCCCGAGCTTGGGTTGGTGGAATTTTCAATCTGGAACCACTTGGGTCAAAGGGCAAATTGACTCCACTTACACCATGTCTTACGCAGCTCAGGCCGCTCTAACAAAATACCACAGAGGGGGTGGCTCGAAAATAGACACTCCTTTCTCACAGGTCTGGAGGTTGGAAAGTCCGAGAACACAGTTCCAGCTGATTTGGTTCCTGGTGGGGTCCTCTTTCTGGCTTTCAGAGGCCTCCTTTTCACAGTGTCCTCACATGGCTGAGAGAGGAAGCTCTGGTGTCTTCCTCCTCTTATAAGGACGCTGATCTCATCATGGGGGCCCCACCCTCATGATCTCATCTAAACATAGTTACCTTCTAAAGACCCCATCTCCTAATGCCATCAGATTGGGTGTTAGGGCTTCAACATATGGATTTTGGGAGGACACACGTATTTGGACCATAGGATTCCATGGCTGGGGAGGAGCGGGGTGGTCCAGCTGAGGTGGAGGGTTCTGGCACATTGCACAAACTTAGTGAAACTCCTTTTGTTGGTTTTCCATTTTATACCCGTGAGATGATAGCTGAAGGCAGATATTAAGCAACAGCTTGTAAGATAAGATAACTAGTGCTATTTTCTCCTCTCAGTGCTGAGTTTTCCTTACTCGATCCTCTCCTCTTTGTCTGCTCCTTCTTAAGACCTCACAACCCCAACAAAGATTCCTCGGTACCAGGTACGCAAAGACTTACCTCCCACTCCTGCACTCACCCTGCGTGACCCTCTGGGTAGGGCTTAGGGCTGTGAGTCTAAGGAATGGTGCATTCCCTACTGCTTCTCCCTCCACACATGCTCTATTTCCATTTCAGGCAAAGAGTTCTTTTTCCTGGACAGTGAAACCAGATTGTGCAAAATAGCTCCTGAAGGCTGGAGAGAGCAACCTCAGAAGACCTCCACGAATACCTTCACACTCTTCCTGAGGATAAAGTTCTTTGTCAGCCACTATGGGATGCTCCAGTGAGTGCTGCAAATGTGTTCATTTGTTCCTTAAGGGATTTATGTATGTCCAGGCTGATGGAGAAGTAATGGATCGACAAATGCTTTGCAAACTGTAAATTACATACAAATAACAATAGCTATTGTGGTTGGTTTTCTGTTGATTGGATTCTGATCAAGATAGAACAAAGGGGAAAAATCAGGTTTTTTTTTCGTGCAGGCCCTGGTCAAAATGAGAATATGCCCTTTTGTCTCAGACATACTCCACTCAAGGTCAAAATTCTCTGTCTGTGACCCCAAAATGCCCCCTCACCCCCAACACACAACTCAGCAGCCCAGTCATGAGGGTTAGAGGACAGAGACATGGGTTTGTGGTTTGATCACTGCTTCTTTATTTCTTTGTTTATTAGAAACACTACCGAACTGATTATTAGCTTCCTCACTCAAACCAGAGCAAGAAACACCTCTGTAAGTTTGTGTGAAGTGAGTGATCCTGAACTAGGGGCAGGAGACATGGCGTAAATGGAGGAGAGCACACTTGTCTTGCTGGCATTGCCTCTGAATTCTATTGAGTTGCATCTCATCTTCCCTACTTTCCCAACTTCCCACAGTGAGAAAACCCACTGGTGCTAATGTTCTCCCTTTCCCTTAGCAACCCAACCTTCTTTATTGCTACTTCTTTCCCAGGCACAGTCTGACAAGGCACCAGTTTTACCTGCAGCTTCGGAAAGATATCCTGGAGGAGAGGCTCTACTGCAATGAAGAGATGCTGCTGCAGCTGGGGGTCCTTGCCTTGCAGGCTGAGTTTGGCAATTACCCTAAGGAGGTAGGGGTGAACACCTGGGGCCTTTGTGTGACATCACTGGAAAAACAGTTACAGGATGAGGGCATGTGTTAGTAATGTGGAGATTCTGCTTTGAATATTGTTACCATCTACCAGTTACATTGGAGTAAACTACAGTTATCCATCCATCCATCCATCCGTCCATCCATCCATCCATCCATCCGTCCATCAGTCCACCTATTCACTGATTCATCCATCCACTCATCTGCCTATTTACCTGTCTATCCATCCATCCATCCATCCATCCATCCATCCATCCATCCATCCACCTATTCATTGATTCATCCATTCAGTCATCTACCTATTTACCTGTCCATCCATCCATCCATCCATCGGTCCATCCGTCATCTATCCATCCATCCATCCATCCATCCATCCATCCACCCACCCACCCATCAATCCACCTATTCATTGATTCATCCATCCACTCATCTACCTATTTACCTGTCTGTCCGTCCATCCATCCGTCCATCCATCCATCCATCCATCCATCCATCCATCCATCCATCCATCCATCCGCCCACCCACCCATCCACCCATCCATCCACCCATACATCTACCTATCCATCCATCTACCCACCCAGCCACCCACAAACCCATCCACCTATTCATCCAGAAAGCATTCATTGAGCACTATTTGCTAGACTATGCTAATATGGTTCTAGTCTAATAGGTACCTCCTAAAGACAGTAATTTACTAGTTTATTGAATTCCTACCATAATCACCATAATCAATAGTAATAGCCAAACTTAATTTTCAAAATTTATTTTTATTTATTTATTTATTTTATTTCAATAGGCTTTTGGAGAACAGGTGGTGTTTGGTTACATAAATAAGTTTTTTAGTGGTGATTACTGAAATTTTGGTGCATTCATCACCCAAGCAGTGTACACTGCACCCAACATGTAGTCTTTTATCCCTCATCCTCCCAACCCTTTCCCCAAGTCCCCAAAGTCCATTGTATCATTCTTATGTTTTCTCATTCTCATAGCTTAGCTCCCACTTGTGAGTGAGAACATACGATGTTTGGTTTCCATTCCTGAGTTACTTCACTTAGAATAATGGTCTCTAATTCCACCTACGTTGCTGTGAATGCCATTATTCCATTCATTTTTATGGAATGAGATGATAAAGAAATTGTGATATATGATATATATATATAATATATATATATCATTGATGGGGCATTTGGGCTGGTTCCATATTTTTGCAATTGGGAACTGTGCTGCTATAAACATGCGTGTGCAAGTGTCTTTTATGTATAATGACTTCTTTTCCTCTGGGTAGATACTCAGTAGTGGGATTGATGGTTCAAATGGTAGTTCTACTTTTAGTTCTTTAAGGAATCTCCACACTGCTTTCCATAGTGGTTGTACTAGCTTACATTCCCAACAGCAGTGTAGAAGTGTTCCCTTTTAACCACATCCATGCCATTATCTATCATTTTTTGATTTTTTGATTATGGCCATTCTTGCAGGAGTGAGGTGGTATCACATTGTGGTTTTGATTTGCATTTCCTTGATCATTAGTGATGTGGAGCATTTTTTCATATGTTTGTTGACCATTTGTATATCTTGTTTTTTTTATTATTATACTTTAAGTTTTAGGGTACATGTGCACAATATGCAGGTTTGTTACATATGTATACATGTGCCATGTTAGTGTGCTGCACCCATTAACTCATCATTTACATTAGGTATATCTCCTAAAGCTATCCCTCCCCCGTACCCCCACCCTAGGACAGGCCCTGGTGTGTGATGTTCCCCTTCCTGTGTCCAAGTGTTCTCATTGTTCAATTCCAACCTGTGAGTGAGAACATGCGGTATTTGGTTTTTTGTCCTTGCGATAGTTTGCTGAGAATGATGGTTTTCAGCCTCATCCATGTCCCTACAATGGACATGAACTCATACTTTTTTATGGCTGCATAGTATTCCATGGTGTATGTGTGCCACATTTTCTTAATCAAGTCTATCATTGATGGACATTTGGGTTGGTTCCAAGTCTTTCCTATTGTGAATAGTGCTGCAATAAGCATACATGTGCATGTGTCTTTACAGCAGCATAATTTATAATCCTTTGGGTATATACCCAGCAATGGGATGGTTGGGTCAAATGGTATTTCTAGTTCTGGATCCTTGAGGAATCACCACACTGTCTTCCACAATGGTTGAACTAGTTCATAGTCCCACTAACAGTGTAAAAGTGTTCCTATTTCTCCACATTCTCTCCAGCACCTGTCGTTTCCTGACTTTTTAATGATCACCATTCTAACTGGTGTGAGATGGTATCTCATTGTGGTTTTGATTTGCGTTTCTCTGATGGCGAGTGATGATGAGCATTTTTTCATGTGTCTGTTGGCTACATAAATGTCTTCTTTTGAGAAGTGTCTGTTCATATCCTTCACCCACTTTTTGATGGGGTTGTTTTTTTCTTGTAAATTTGTTTGAGTTCTTTGTAGGTTCTGGATATTAGCCCTTTGTCAGATGAGTAGATTGCAAAAATTTTCTCCCATTCTGTAGGTTGCCTGTTCACTCTGATGGTAGTTTCTTTTGCTGTGCAGAAGCTCTTTAGTTTAATTAGCTCCCATTTGTCAATTTTGGCTTTCGTTGCCATTACTTTTGGTGTTTTAGACATGAAGTCGTTGCCCATGCCTATGTCCTGAATGGTATTGCCTAGGTTTTCTTCTAAGGTTTTTATGGTTTTAGGTCTAACATGTAAGTCTTTAATCCATCTTAAATTAATTTTTGTATAAGGTGTAAGGAAGGTGTAAGGAAGTTTCAGCTTTCTACATATGGCTAGCCAGTTTTCCCAGCACTATTTATTAAATAGGGAATCCTTTCCCCATTTCTTGTTTTTGTCAGATTTGTCAAAGATCATATGGTTGTAGATGTGTGGTATTATTTCTGAGGGCCCTGTTCTGTTCCATTGGTCTATATCTCTGTTTTGGTACCAGTACCATGCTGCTTTGGTTACTGTAGCCTTGCAGCATAGTTTGAGGTCAGGTAGTGTGATACCTCCAGCTTTGTTCTTTTGGCTTAGGATTGACTTGGCAATGCAGGCTCTTTTGTGGTTCCATATGAACTTTAAAGTAGTTTTTTCCAATTCTGTGAAGAAAGCCATTGGTAGCTTGATGGGCATGACATTGAATCTATAAATTACCTTGGGCAATATGGCCATTTTCATGATATTGATTCTTCCTATCCATGAGCGTGGAATGTTCTTCCATTTGTTTGTGTCCTCTTTTATTTCGTTGAGCAGTGGTTTGTAATTCTCCTTGAAGAGGTCCTTCACATCCCTTGTAAGTTGGATTCCTAACTATTTTATTGTCTTTGAAGCAATTGTGAATGGGAGTTCACTCATGATTTGGCTCTCTGTTTGTTGTTGGTGTATAAGAATGCTTGTGATTTTTGCACATTGATTTTGTATCCTGAGACTGCTGAAGTTGCTTATCAGCTTAAGGAGATTTTGGGCTGAGATGATAGAGTTTCTAAATATACAATCACATCATCTGCAAACAGGGACAATTTGACTTCCTCTTTTCCTAATTAATACCCTTTATTTCTTTCTCCTGCCTGATTGGCCTGGCCAGAACTTCCAACACTGTGTTGAATAGGAGTGGTGAGACAGGGCATCCCTGTCTTGTGCCAGTTTTCAAAGGGAATGCTTCCAGTTTTTGCCCATTCAGTATGATATTGGCTGTGGGTTTGTCATAAATAGCTCTTATTATTTTGAGATATGTCCCATCAATACCTAATTTATTGAGAGTTTTTAGAATGAAGGGCTGTTGAATTTCGTCAAAGGCCTTTTCTGCATCTATTGAGACAATCATGTGGTTTTGGCTTTGGTTCTGTTTATATGCTGGATTATGTTTATTGATTTGCGTATGTTAAACCAGCCTTGCATCCCAGGGATGAAGCCCACTTGATCATGGTATATAAACTTTTTGATGTGCTGCTGGATTCAGTTTCCCAGTCTTTTATTGAGGATTTTTGCATTGATGTTCATCCGGGATATTGGTCTGAAATTCTCTTTTCTTGTTGTGTCTCTGCCAGGCTTTGGTATCAGGATGATGCTGGCCTCATAAAATGAGTTAGGGAGGATTGCCTCTTTTTCTGTGGATTGGAATAGTTTCAGAAGGAATGGTACCAGCTCCTCCTTGTACCTCTGGTAGAATTCAGCTGTGAATCCGTCTGGTCCTGGACTTTTTTTGGTTGGTAGGCTATTAATTGTTGTCTCAATTTCAGAGCCTGCTATTGGTCTATTCAGGGATTCAATTTCTTCCTGGTTTAGTTGGGAGGGTATATGTGTCCAGGAATTTATCCATTTCTTCTAGATTTTCTAGTTTATTTGCATAGAGGTGTTTATAGTGTTCTCTGATGGTAGTTTGTATTTCTGTGGGATCAGTGGTGATATCCTCTTTATCATTTTTTATTGCATCTAGTTGATTCTTCTCTCTTCTTTATTAGTCTTGCTAGCAGTCTATCAATTTTGTTGAACTTTTCAAAACACCAGCTCCTGGATTCATGGATTTTTGGAAGGATTTTTTGTGTCTCTATCTTTCAGTTCTGCTCTGATCTTAGTTATTTCTTGCCTTCTGCTAGAAATTTTAATTGTGATGTTAGGGTGTCAATTTTAGATCTTTCCTGCTTTCTCTTGTGGGCAGTTAGTGCTATAAATTTCCCTCTACACACTGCTTTAAATGTGTCCCGGAGATTCAGTTATGTTGTGTCTTTGTTCTCACTGGTTTCAAAGAACATCTTCATTTCTGCCTTCATTTCATTATGTACCCAGTAGTCATTCAGGAGCAGGTTGTTCTGTTTCCATGTAGTTGAGTGGTTTTGAGTGAATTTCTTAATCTGAGTTCTAATTTGATTGCACTGTGGTCTGAGAGACAGTTTGTTATAATTTCTGTTCTTTTACATTTGCTGAGGAGTGCTTTACTTCCAACTATGTGGTCAATTTTGGAATAAGTGCGATGTGG